GGGGGGGGGGGGGGTTAACGCTGTTACATGGAAGAAGGGGGCATTGGTCTGTGAGTCACAAAAATCAGCTCTTGAACCGAGCCCGACGCGGCGGCGAGCATACAATGTTCCAACGATGGTACGGGAGTGAGGGAAAAAGATTCGCTTAGTATTACATCTTTAAATGGTAGTTATATGTTTGATTAAATAAAAATATGAAAAAATAGAACGTAGATTATTACATAACTCAAGTAATATACGACTCTGTTTATCGTAACTAGTACTGTTCGAACTCTCCACATACTCTTGCCAGCTGCCATCGATCGTAGCCCCAAGTTCATTTTTTTGTTAAAATTTTGCTTATTTTTGGTTCCCTAATAGTAGAGCAGAAATATTTTAAGAATATTAAAAAACAGTAAAACCTCGTCCTAAATTGCAATTTTCTTTCAAAAATTTGCAGCCGTTTTTAACAAAATGGTGCTTAAGCACTACATTAAATTCGAAATTGTAAGCACTTTTTCGCAGAAAATTTTTGAGTTTTAGAAAAATTTCATTAGAAATCATTTGAATCACTATAACTCACAAATACAACAGGGTTAACAAATTGCTCGAAATGTGCAAATTACTGGCATGAGAGATCGTTAAAAAAAATACATTTGTGTGACTTGAAAAAATAAAAACATACCCCGAAATAAACTTTACGTCATATTAAAGAGTGCAACTAACACTATCCTTTCGAAAAGTTAGAAGAAAAAAATTGTAGCCGCTTTTGAGAAAATGGCGTTTGAGCTTTTCTAAAAATGCAAAATTTTGAGGTAACCTGTTGCTAAGAAAAAAAGTTTTAGTTATCACTATTTTAAAAGAGAACGAAGCATTGGACAAAGGTAATTTCACTGCACAACAGGATGATTTCTATAATTAATTTTATCTGCAACAAATTCTTAAATCGCATTGTTTTACACCAACAGAATAAGATATGAAACATCAGTTTACAGTTTCTTTCACCATTTCTTTTTTCATTTTTAGATTCTCTAATTGAGATACTACTTTGTCAATTTCATCTTGTGTCACTGATGGAGTGACAGCACATGCTTTTTCTTCTTCTATAATCCATTTGAGTTTTTTCACCTTTTCTGTCAGAAAATCTATTTTTTGTGATTCTAACTGATCTTTGTAGGCTTTAAGACGTTCTTGTTTTAAATCTTCACAATATTTGTCAGCAAGTTTCTGAAGTGATTCTTTCCGTGTTATCATATGGAAATTGCTGTAAAAAAAATATGGTACCTTGGAAATTCATTATTGACACCAGAAACCACCACCAAATAGTTCCAATTACTATAAAAAGTTGTTAACAATTTCACTCACAAAAATTAATTCATTACCTGGGAGGTGGTCGATACTGTAAATCCAACTTTTCCAATAACCATTCAAATCTTTTATAATCTGATTTTCTCAAATACTTGAGGTATTTTTTCCGTTTATCTATTAGCTCTTTCAACTGCACCTTCATTCTCTTATTCTGGCGGTTTTTTGACACAGCATCTTGAAAGTTTCTGATTACAGCTGTCATATGAGCAACTGTAAATAATATTTGATGTATTTATACTTCAATATTCAAGGATTAAGACTAAAGCATTGCAAGTAAAGTTACACAATTTACAATTTATTAAAGAGTTACTAACTGGTGCATTCGAAAGACCCCCAATCAGATTGATGCCTCCTCACAGATTTAACCATATCCCTTCGTACAACATCCATTGATGTGCTTCTTCGAGAAAATTCTAAAGTAAACAATCTTTTTACTGATTCGCTGGCACTGGAAAATATTACACCATATAATTCATGCACAAAATATATTATGCACTATTTGGTAGGAACTAAAGCTTACTTCTTGAACTCTTCTGATTCTGCCAAACTAGGAGGCACACTTTTCATGTCAATGTTTGGTAAAGGTTTCTGATCCCCAGATTTCACTGGATCTATACATGGAATTTTCACAGGTCTCACCCATTTTATCTTCAATTCAGATTTGAAAGTTCGAACTGGAAACTGATAGAAACAATGCACATATTATTTTACTATAATTTAATAGATTGGAACATACAAAACAAAAGAAAACAAAACAACTTACTACTCCACTGTGTTTAAATGCTGGTCTCCTAAAAGTAGCACCAAGTATTGGAACTGAGAACATACTAGTAGAAACACTCCTACAACATAAACAACAAACTTTTGACGCTACATAAAATATTTAAGGAATGATACCAACGAATGATTTAATCAAAACGTGTCTGTTTTACACATTTTAATAGATAACTAAAATGCATTACACAAATGCTGTTAGTAATTTCATTTTATTTGTAACTTAAATGATCACAACTTCCGTCCAGTCCGTTTCGTTTGCAATGTTATGCAACCAAACAGACTAAACATGATGCAAGATATATTTCTTACATGAAAACACATCACACGGAATAAAAAAAAGTATTATAAATATACTTAAAACAATTAGACATTAGGCAAAACACACATCAATGTTCAACGATCATACCTAACCTCTTTTGCTTTGAAGATGCTAGTGCGTGTGGCCAATGGCTACCGATTACGTTTTTAATAGTTGGTCACATGTAAAAGAACAGTTGAAGAAACGAACCAGTCATTTTAATTTCAGATGGAGTGCATTCCTTCTTCAAATTCCGAAACCTGCGATCAAATTAACTTAACAGTAGTGTGTATTATTATTCATAATTTTTTTAAGTCATGGTTGATTTATTACGCATAAATAAGAGATCTATTAATTAATGTAAATGTAGAAGAAGTTCAGGTTATGATGTTAGTAGTATTAATCAGTTTAGCCACCTTTCTTTTCGTATTTTCAATCGTGCTTGTCAAAATCCAAGTAGAAGGATGTTTTGCGTAGTAATGAAAGTATTTTTTGTGAATAAACTTCACTACACTTTGTTGACAGTAGAGAAGATGATATCTGTATGGATATTTTTGTCGGTATTTTTTGTTGCTTATGGAAATAAGATACAGTGCAAAAATGCTAATAACGAGGACGTAGACTGGTAAGCCAATGAACATTTAATTTTTGTATTTATTCAAAAATAATGTGATTTATTGCTAACTATTAAAACACGCACTCTACTCGCCTCCTTCCTTGAAATCAGCGCATTAAATTACTGGTGGGGGTACAGGATGGCACAGACTTTCTCGTACTAGTTTACTAATTTCTTTAGTCTGGAGTACCTTTTCCACCTTGCCCCACCCTCTTTCCAGCTACCGTCTATCGCCGCCCAAAAATATTTTTTCACATTTTCTCAATTTTTCAGTCTACCGAAGGTACAACTGAAATATGACTTAAAGACTCTCGTAGAAGAATAATATCTCGTCCTATATGTAAATTTCTGTTGAAAAATTTGGTACCGTTTTTGAGAAAATGTTCAAGCATTTTTGTAAATGCGAAATTTGAAGCTCTTTTCCAAAGAACATTTTTTGAGTTTTCGAGAAACTGTTTTAAAACTTAAAACAAATTTGGAGCCGTTTACGAGAAAAGAGCATTTGAACGATTCTGGAATTGCGAATTTTCGAGAGTTTTCGAGAAACTTTACTTGACATCATTTGAAGCACATGTACTTATAAATGTCTCTAATTGTACATTTTTTTTATAAAATTATGAAAATAATGTAAAATAATAAATCGATTGTATAATTTTGGATAAAAACGAAACAGTTCAGCAAAATGGGATTATGTCATCTGATACAGTATAAAGAAAAATTCACTACCTATTTTACTAGTGTAATATAAAATTGTATAATATATAAATGTATCATTATACATAATATCATTTAATATTGGAATATTGTTTTGGATATTTTTAATTTTGTCCATATTTCTTTGATGGTCGTTCAAAAACTCCCACAATTTTCATAAAAAATATACCTGACATTAATGAAAGAGCTAATTGTGGAGAACAAATTTCATTGGAAGAAAAATTCTTCATCCATAGTACTTTTAATTGTAAGGCGCTGAAAAAATTTCAAACTTGTGCAGTTTTCTAAATTTTATAACATTGAAAGTTAGACCTACGCCATTTTTATAATTATATTTAACTTTATTCTTACAAGAATTTTTGTTGGGGGGGGGGATCCATTCTTGAGAAATTTTTGAGTGGTCCAGAGCCTTTAGGTAAAGTACCCCCAAAATTTAAAGAATGTTATTCAAAACGGCAGAACTTTCATTGGGAAAAATCCTACAATTAGTTAGGTGCTAGTGCTAGCGTTGAAATCTTGAAATCGATTTTCCGCAGACTTCAAAGGCATATTTTTGTTTTATATAACTTTCTCCATAGGTACTTCGTATGTTACGCTGTATTTACATATTTACTTTACAAGAAAGTAAAATTGTAACTAGTCATTCAAAAGTGGTATAAGTTGAATTCGGACATTTGCTGAATAGAACTTTCAAAAATTATTTTGTTTCTTGCAACGTTTCAGTAGATCAGGCTTAAACCATAGATTAACTCGTGTATTAATCTATGCTTAAACCGTTCAGGCAATTTTCTTGAAAATTGACATTCTTTTATCTACCTGGCTATTTGATCTCAAGGGCCTATAATTTTTATTTTTGGGGGGTTCTTTGAATAAAACCTAAAAATTTCAAAATTTTCTCAAATATTACTCCCTATTTTTGGATTCTTTCTCATCTTACGTAAAGTGCACTAATTTAATTTGGCATAGATTTTATTCTCATTGAACACTGAATTGCATTGTAAAACATTTTTAATTGTAAAAATGTTTGTTTGCTATATTTTTGTAGTTTTCAATAATTTTGCATGTTTCGAATGTGATTGAAGCCATGAATTTTCAGGGACAAAAGTCGTTCATATGGTTTGCTTCAAAGGGGAAGTATAGTGGGCTGTTCCATATTGTAGATTTATTGCAATTGTAAAAGATCAAGCTCAAAAGACGCCTCCAAGCTAAAGTGTAATTGCCTGTGAGTGATACCTTCTTTGACTCAAGAGAATGAAAGGAGCATGGTGAAATGTGCATGGTCTGGTGGAAGAGCAGGCCTGATCGCCTTAACCTTGCCACATAAAATCTCGCTTTGCCACATCATTAACAAAAATATATTTTGTAATTTATCCTTAAAAAAGAAAAGTAAGTATTGGTTACTATACACTGATATCAGAACATCTTAAAAATTTAAAGTATTTGTACAATTTTTTAGTGTCTGATTTCTTATTCAAATCTGGTGGAAGATTTTTATGTCCTTCCTACAAGGTTACCCCATACTTCCAGGAGTACACATAGTCGCATACCAGTGTGACAACCCTGTTTGAAACCAAGGCATACAACAATATTTCCACTATTTTTCACCTACTTTTCGTGTCAGAAAAGATGAAGAATATGCTCTTGTTTCTTGTTTATTATATTTTTAAATTAATTAAAAACTCATAAATAAACTGTATTTATGAAATTACATGATATGTATAGAACATCAACTTTTATGGATAGACTATCTTCTGACAAAGAAGTGATAAAGATTATAAAAGTAATGGAGCAAAGTGCAAAGGAGCAAAGTATACAGTAGCAAATAGTTTAGCTATTGAAAAGCCCAGGAAACATTGTACTATTTCATCAACATGTAATTGATGGACTTTTTACAAGAACCAAACTAGTCCAAATTCAAGATTTTTCAGGAGGCGCCAAAAAATTCATAGAGTAGTTGTTCATAGTAATGAATTTATGATTTTTTGCTGCCTCATATGTACGGGTGGATCCAGCCAACCAAATCATAGATTTTTGTTAAATAATCATATTTGTTATTATATTGTATATTATTTATGTACTGTAGATATGATAGTATACAGAGTAATTCTTTAAATAATTATATAATTCAAACATAATTATTTAAATCTATTTTGCCAGATAAAAGAAGGTAAATGAAAACTGTAGGTTTCTGGGGGGGGGGAGGCAAGGATCCTCCTGGATACCCCCCCCCCCGGATCCGCCAGTGCTCATATCTTTGAATGAGTTTGGCACTTGGTGAAGGAAATATCCCACCAAGATAGCGCCAGTTGTAGGGAATAACTCATGTAGGAAATAACTCAAAATTCATTCATTAATTCATTTGCATCAGATACATTTGCACACACACGTGCGCACACACATACACACACACTCACACACACACTCACACACACACTCACTCACACTGAGTAGCTTATGGGATCTTGCTCCATATCTCTACGAAAATCCCCTTCTCACCTTCCTTCCAATTCCATTTCTGCTGGCGGTAGCATATAAAACGCTAAGGGAAGGTCACCCCGAAAATAAACCAGTGATAGGTATGACTGAGCCTCAAAACTTACTACCCCAAGCGCGTCGAGCGTTGACGCTGAATCTCGCCACCGATTCTGATCGGGTGAAAGCCCCGATAGTCGGTGCCGGCTCCATGGATTTTGGGGGGAGCCAAGCTCACATGTCTGTCTGGGAAGAGAATAGGAGAGTGAAGTTTCTAGAGTTGGGGAAGAAGATCGGGGATCTCTTGCATTTTGTCCTGCCAAGGAATAATGTCCACGGGGAGATAAAGCGTATGGTGAGTTCCATCCGATCAGACTTTGATGAGATGGTGGACATGGAGGAGTCACTATCTGTAATTAGCTCGAAGCCAGTTGAGGCGGAGACGCAGACTTCACCGCAGACAAGGGGTGTCGATCCGAATACTGATGGTTATGGGGGGCCCTCGACAGCAGCAGCAGAGGCGCAGCCTGCGGGGAACAATGTAATTCTATCTAGCTATCAGAGTCGGTGCAGGGAAGGAACATTCAACACACTGAAGTTCCTCAGGTCCTGCACACACCGTCTGATGAGACACCACACCAAAATCATGTGATGGATTGGCATGTCGTTGGGAGGAAGAGACCGAGGCCGTCGAAGCCGCACTCTTATCGCCCCGAATTCGTTATTGTTAAGGCAAATGACGGAGGCCCTTCGTATGCTGACATTCTAAGGCAGATCAAGGGCGACCTATCTCTGAAAGATGCTGGTGAGAACGTCGCAAAGGTGAGGAGAAATGCAGCCGGATACCTGCTGCTGGTGTTGCGGAAATATGCAGCAGCCTCCGAGATATCTGCAGCTCTATCCAGAAAACTGGGCGAGTTAGCAAGAGTAACGACGCGGAGAGACGAAATTACTCTCGAGATTCGCGACCTTGACGAGCTGACAACGGCGGCTGAAGTCAGTGAAGCTATAAGCGGGAAATTGAAATCACCTGTTGAGCTAGCAAGTGTCATATCCGTGCGGGGGGGCTTACAGAGGCACACAAACTGCTGTGGTCCGTCTACCGACGGAACTAGCCAGGAGGGCATTGAGAAGCGGTCGTGTTCGCATTGGGTGGGTGAACTGCTGCGTTAGAGAGAAAGTAATTGTGCTAAAGTGTTATCGTTGTTGGGCATTCAGACATCTGGCGCGCGACTGCCAAGGGATGGACAGGTCGAAATCCTGTCACCGATGCGGAGAAGACAGCCACTTGCGTCAGGCTTGCAAAAGCGCTGAGGCGAGGTGTGTGCTCTGCAAAGATAAGAGTAACCACTCGACGGGGAGTTTCAAGTGTCCGGCGTACCAATGAAGGCAAATGGTTCTCCAACTAAATTTAAATCATTGCGAGGCGGCCCAGGACCTTCTCACCCAGACGGTGCGCGAGATGAATATAGATGTTGAGATACTCTGCGAGCAGTACAGGAATATTGTCGGTCTTCAGTATCTGCAGTATGGATATGTGGTAAGAGTCCAGTCCAGGATGTTATGCAAGTCCCAAGGGATGGATTCACGTGGATCAAAGGGTTCGGTGTATATTTCTATACTGTGTATGCTGCACCCAGTGCATCGCTTGAGGAGTTCGAGGAATTACTTGATCGCTTAATAGATGACGCGAGAGAACGAAGGCCTCTTATTATTGCTGGGCCTTCAATGCATGGGGCATGGAGTGGGGCAGCAGAGTAACGAATCGACGCGGGGTGGCTCTCCTGGACAGCCTTGACAGTTTGGATGTCTGCCTCTGCAACAAGGGGGCCAGTCCGACCTTTGTAATGAATGGTCGCAACTAGGTCGTCGACCTAACTTTCGTTTGTAAAAGCCTTGCTAGACGTATTGTATCATGGGAGGTTAGTGCACATTATACACATAGTGACCACCAAGCTATTGTCTATGAAATGAAAGAGCAGTGCAAGTTGAGTCCACCAAGGGGTAGAAGGAAAGCTGTTTGGAACCAAAGGACGTTCGGTCGTGATTCCTTCATTGCCATGATGGAGGGCAACCCGGAAGATATGTTGGCCGGTGACTCTGAATATATGGTAGAAACCGTAATGAACCGGCTATTTGACGCTTGTGATGCGTCAATGACAATGTTCAAGGAGAGAACGCAGTCCTCCAGTGTTCTGGTGGACTGACGAGATCGCGGAACTTCGCTGAGAATGCCACCGAACACGTACATTGGCACAGCGCGCCTGGAGCCGACCAAATTATGAGTTTCTCAAGAAGCAACATGGACGCCAGAAGAGCTTTCACGAAAGCCATTAAGATTAGTAAGTGTCATTGCTGGAGAGAGCTAGGGGAGGAGGTGGATGCTGACCCCTGGGGACGCCCGTATAAGCTGGTAACGGCCAGACTAAGGGGTATGTCCAGGCGACCATCCACTTGCCCGGTTTTCTTGGGAAAAGTTGTACCTACCTTGTTTCCTCACCAGGTAGATATGTTACAACCGAAGGATCGTCTGGAAGATCTAAGCGATGTTCCGGCAGTCACGTTGGATGAACTTTCCAGAGCTTGCGGTAAGGTCCATGATTGCGAAGCCCCCGGATTAGATGCAGTACCAAATATAGCTATTAAGACCGCTATTAATGCTCGGCCCGATCTATTCTTACAGGCATATAACGCATGCATACGAGAGGGGAATTTCCCCCGTCGATGGAAGCAGCAACAGCTAGTCCTTCTTCCGAAGGGCGATAAGGCACCTTCTGATCTGGCAGCCTATCGGCCAATATGCTTACTGGCTACAGCACGCAATGTGTTAGAGCGGATCATCTGCAATCGTATTGAGTCATTTACAGAGGGTCCTCAGGGATTGTCTGATAATCAGTACGGCTTCAGAAAAGCGAGATCCACGGCAGATGCAATTAAGGTAGTCATCGACACGGTAGTCATCGACACGCAAGGCCATTGAGGGCAAACGATGGAAAGGAGGTCCTATGAAGTATTGTGCTATAGTGACCCTAGATGTGAAAAACCCCTTTAACACTGCAAACTTGAGTTCACTTCTTTCTGCGTTACTAACTCTTGGAGTTCCAAGGTACATCTCGAACTTGGTCAAAAGTTACTTTAAAGAGAGAATCCTCCTATATGACACTTGGACTGGAGTACAATCTTATACGGTCCCAAGCGGTGTCCCACAAGGCTCGGTACTTGGTCCGATGTTGTGGAACATTATGTATGACGCCGTGTTTAAGCTCGAGTTAACCGAAAGGCGCAAGAAATATTGGATTCGCTGACGATGTTGCAATTGTAGTTGTCGGCAAATACATCGAAGAAGTCACGCAGGTTGCCAACGAGGCTGTGGCGGAGATCCGGCGGTGGCTTACGTCGGTAGGGCTACAGATGGCTGTCCATAAAACAGAGGCTGTGCTGGTGACGGGCAGAAAAGTGAGAGAGAGTATTACTCTTAATGTAGGAGGCTGCAAAATATCCTCGCAGCTGTCACTGAGGTATTTAGGAGTGCATATTGACGCGAGACTTCGATTTGACGAGCACTTGCGCAAAGTCTCCGAGAAAGCGTCTCGTATGGTATCGGCATTGGCACGCATTATGCCTAATGTAGGGGGTCCTGGGCAAAGAAGCCGGAGGCTGCTGACCAGCGTATTAAATTCCATTCTTCTCTTCGCAGCCCCTATTTGGGCTGATGCCATGGGCATTCAGTCATACGCCCATGGGGCTAAGTCGGTGCACAGAAGGTCCGCCTTGCGGGTTGCTCGAGCGTTTCGCTCCGTATCCTATGATGCTGTGTGTATTAGCAGATATGCCTCCGATCGACCTCATTGCGCAGGAGAGAGCTAGACTATTTGCGCATGCGGAAGGTGGCTTCAAACTGGAATACCATCACGAAAGAAGAGAGGGGGTGACAATGGACCAATGGCAACGACGATGGGTGCAATCATCAACTGGGCGATGGATATTTGGTATCATTCCAGACATCATGACGTGGATCCAAAGGAACATGGAGAATTATATTTTTATCTAACTCAGATGCTGACAGGGCATGGATGTTACCGGCAGTATCAGCTCCGATTCCGGCTGGACGATAGCTCATCATGCCCAAGGTGTTTCCCGGTGATTGAAGATGTAGAACACGTGTTCTTTCATTGTCCACGCTTCGCAGTGGAAAGGGAAGAACTTCACAGACTCCTCCAAGAGGAAGTGACCCCTGAGACCATCGTCACTAGGATGCTGATGACACAAGAGTAGTGGAGTGCGGTAGCCACCTATGCCGCAAAGGTCCTGAAGACGCTCCGCTCCGAGGAGCAGTTACGAAGAACTGTCCCGTAATATGTCGGTGAAGTGTGAAAAGCCCATCCTTCCTTCTCGCGATGCAATGCCTGACGGCGGTTCCGCGGGAACGAATAGGAGGAAAGGGAGGGGTTTTTAGTGGGTAGGCATAGGCTAGCTATGAATCCCACACGCTGCGGGTTGCGGGCCCCGCATTATCTTTAGAAGATTTTCCCCTGCCCCCGTAAAAAATAAATAAATAAAAAAACACACACACTGCATTTAATACAAGAAACTCCTTCATTAAATTAAAACTATGCCCCCGAAAGTTTTTCCTCAAGAGACTGTACTAATTTAAATTCATTTATTTTTAAATTAGGCCTGTAAGGGCCAAATTGTTTCTTACCGTATTGAAGAACAGATATTTTACTTTTATTCCAAGTGTGTTTGAGGGGCACTTCCCCGTGGTCGATCTAACGAACATTCTTCTACCTTAAAATTTTATTTTCCTACCCTTCATTTGAGGCGGTGTCAATGTATAAAAAGATGGTAATAAATTAACTTAACACCAGAACGTCCGGCGCCGTCATTTTGATGGCTACAACACCTTCAAATAATGTTCTCTTTATTGAACTGAACAGTAAGTCATTGTGATTACTTAACTTTTAATGTATTTATGAAAATTTCGAAAATGTCCTGTAGCCGTCAAATTGACTGGTTCCCAATAGCTTCTAAACTGTGCGCTCGGTGTGTCAACTTATTTTTGTTTACATCATATTATCTCTCTTCCGAGAAATGGATGCTCTCTTTGTTGTGCTCATAGTAACTGAAGTGTGGATATTAAATGTCTGTGATGAAATGAAACGCAATTGTAACAGTTTCTTATGACGAAAGGCATCTCACGAATTTTCTTAATTATTTTTGTCTAATGCATATATTTTCATTACTATATTGATATCATTAGCCAAGGGAATGCCCATAGTGTTGCTCGCTTGTTGAATTGGACGTTTTCAAATAATACTTCAGGTGTTAGTTGCGCAGAAACTGCAATATTACAATATTGCGTTACCGTTCCAATAACGCGAGAAAGTATGTGCTGTTGTAGCACCAATAGTTTGCAAAATGAATGTAATTGTGCTATGTGGCAGTGTGCTTTTGAAAGTACGTTAAATATTGTTTTGTCAAAGTGTTTTATTTGATTAGTTGTTATGAACATGACACTGATAAAGCTGTTAATAGATCTGTATTAAGTGAAAGTGAAAGAGAGAAAGAACCATCTTTTCTTTTTCAAAAGTCTTTTTTCAATGTCCCATAGAAAGTTTATAGAAATTTTTTTTACAGCTGTTGTCAATTTACACACTTCACTATTCATAGTTACAGTAATTAATGAAATTCTTTCTCATGTTGAAAGGTTTGTTGCTTACAAATGGCCCCAGAATAAAAACAGTGATGATCCCTTTATAAAGAAGGGAATAGGTTTTTCTTATATAACAGCCACCTCAGCAGATAGTGGATGGACCCTTGCCGCCAAATCAATTAATGATTCAAGTGCCCTTATAGCCAATACACTTAATCCATTGTATACAAATTATGGAGTTGATGTGAGTATCTTTAAATAAATGTTTTGTATCGGAAATTATTTTTCCATTATTTTTCTCAAGAAATATTTTATTTTGAATTCAAGAAAAAATGGTCTGAAGTAATTGTTTTTTAGGACTTGGTGTGGATGTTGTATAATGATGAAACTCCCAACAAAACTGTTTCTTTCACATTGGGTCATACAAAAGGTGTTGTTTTGGCAAATGATAGAGAAGGTATTTGGCTGGTGCATAGTGTACCTCGATTTCCTCCTCTGCCCTCATTGGAATTTGCCTATCCTCCATCTGGTATAAAATTTGGTCAGAGCTTTTTGTGTATAAGTTTGAAGTCATCAGACATAGACAAAATAGGTAAGTACAGTATGTAATAAGCTTGTGTCAAATGGAATGCAGAAAACAAAAAAGATTAAAAAGAAAACTTTCTGGAAGGACTTTACCTTACTGATGTAGTTTTTAAATCAATTTTATTTCATATAGCTATGTAATTATTACAATGATAAAAGCACAGTGGTATAAATTTCCTTAATTGTAGTAAAACATAATTTATTATTAATTTTTGTAAAAATGAAATTAAATACTAACATATATAAATAATATAATTATACAGTAGAAATAATATATGAAAACTATGTATACAATAATAATAATTATAATTTTTTTTTAGTTTTTCGAGGGAAATTGTGGAAATACTAATAACCGCTTTCGCATTATTTTGGAATGGCGTCGTGTCGTTTGCCCTCGGGAGCTTATCCCGTATAGCCTCTTCTTTTTACCCATTCAAGTTGTTTTGGCCTGACATTTCTTCCAGTTTCTTGGTGCGGAGTACCTTTTCCACGTAGGTAGATATCGCAAAATCTCGGTGATATTATCTGGGGTTACAGCTTCAACCCTTAGTTGTAGTGACCTGTCGGCTGCCCATCTCTCGCAGACAAAGAAAGTACGCTTAGTGTCATCTGTTTGTGCGTGGCACTCCATACATTCCCCACTTTGTAGTTTGTTCATCGGTTGGAGGTATTTACGTAAATATCCGTGATCGGCGAGGAACTGTGTGAAAAGAAAGGAGACTTCCTCTTGCTTACACCCAATCTAAGGGGATATGTGCGGGATGAGCCTGGCTGTCCATCTTTCGCTACTTTCATATTTCCAGGTATTCTGCCAGTGCTCTGGCGTGTTCTTCCCGATCCAGTCTTCGTCTGATGGGTGAGTTTCCTCTCCTGAGCAAGAAGGTGAATGGGGTGACCCCAGCCACTACCAGTTCTGCAGGTTCGGGCACAGTTCTATAGGAGCAGGCGATTCTCAACGCTCCTTTCCTCTGTACCGCGCTCAAGCGTTGCCTGTGGTGAGAGCGTAGGCTTCCGCGGTCGGAGTCAGTATTTACTAGGCTGTCTGGGCCTAGTAAATAGTATGCATTACGCCCTGAGGAAGGTCGCAGAATTAAGACCGAACGTCAGCACCTTCGCCATGGACGCGGCGTCACCCGGACAGCCTAGTAAATAATGTTGCCTCTGGTGTTCCCTTGCGAGTGCGTCTACCTATATCTCCGATCCTTACAGCATAATGGAGCGCGCTACGGAGATGAGTAGACGCGCTTGCTCGACCTTGGTCCTCCGACATTGGCCGTCAGCTCGCTCAGTGCTCCAGTCACTTGCGAAGCCTTATCCGTTGCCCATCTTGTATGTTCACTGACGATGAGTTTAGTGCCAAACGCGAAGTCAAGGTATTTCACGAACGGCTTTGTTCGGATAACCTCGGTATCAACAATTATGGAAATCACCGTCGGGTTCTGCTTTCTTGGACGAGTTCTGTCTTTTCCTTCGGAAGGCCAAGCCCGTGATACTCCATCCGTGTTGTAACGCGTCTCATCACCTGGTTAAGATTCCACTGGAGTTCTTTTATCGTGCGTGCGTGCCAGACGGCTGCAATGTCGCCATACCCTTTCAGGGCTGTATCTTCTGGTATTTCCATCTGAAGTATGTCGTCATCGTTTCAAACGTCTGGTCCCAGGATCGATCCTTTCTCTACTCCCGCTCTGTTACGGGGAGCTTATAGGGGATGGGGTGGGGGTCGTATAGGCTAGTTTCCTTTCCCTCAAGTATTTACTGAGGATTCGCAGGATGTAGCGTGTTCCCTTAAACATATTCATCAGAGCCATCGGGATATCTGTCCATCTAGCCGAGTTGAAAGCGTTCCGCACGTCTAGTGTTGCTGACAGAATTGTTTTGCAGGGGGGGGGGTTACCTGCTGTATATATTCAACGGCTTCCACTACAACTTTGGCTGCCTCCGTCTTGAAGCCGTATTGTCTGTCCGATAATTTTCCGCATGTTTTCAGGACTTTTGTTGGTATGCCGTCAGGCCTTGGGGCTTTCCTGTTCTGGAGGCTGGTGGTTGGTTCTCTGAGTTCTCGAAGAACGGGATATTTTAATAATATTTGGGGCGTGCTTGTCCGAATGTCTTAGTGGATATCTGGGAAGCAATGCAGCCACAATGAGGCTCATGAAATCAGCGCCGAGATTCGCTTCCTGAGTTTCCGGGTCACTATCTTGTAGCTCTGTCCCCATGGATCTCTGTTGACGGAAGGGAAGTAGACAGTCAAGCTGTGGAAACGCGTCGGCGGAAACAGCGAGGTGACGCAGTTCCGTCAGCCGGCCCAGAAGGTAATATAAACGGACCCCTTCGTCGTCGTGTGGATTGTGCGCGGCGCTGCATTTCAGTGCATAGGCTAGTGAGGCAGGGAACTGAAGCCGGCGTGCTACGTCGGGACGGGTGGTGCGACATACTCGCATGTATGCTCACGTAGGTTACTGGTGCATCACACCGAATAAGATATTTAATTATCAGGCCAGCGGTGGTGGTGACCAGGAACATTCCTTCTAGTAACGGGTCAATATTGTTTATTGTGCTTATTGTACATAGTAATCAGGTGTTGGAGCATATTTCTAATAAATACTCAATAAATAACTGTTCACTTCTGTGATTTATTGCCCCGGCAAAAACGCCATACTGAGGGCATGCCATCACTGAGATTTTCTTCGGCCGATCGCGCTTCTCAATTTCTTCTGTCCGTTCGACTGCGAAGACCACTAGCGCCTAAACCATATGTATGTTTTTTTTTTTTCAAATTGAAGAAACCTGTGTCCATCTAACTCTAGTCGCAGCTTTCAGATTTTGAAAAAAATCTTGAAAATTGGGAGTACTTTAAATACGGCCCCCTGCTTTTTTTCAAAATTTTCTCGAAAACTGCACCAATTTTTTCTTTATATTTCTTATAAGAATAGCCTAAAATACACTTCTAAAGGTAGCATAGGTCCGATTTTGAGGTTTAACTCTGAATTTTTGAAAATTTCAAGTTTTCAATTTCAAATTTTAAGTATGAAGTTTTTTCGGTGTTTTCTTACAACTAGAAAATTGAAGGTAGAGATTTTTTCTTAAAATGATATTTGTTCTCCATAGTGAGTTCTTTCACTAAGGTCATCCATATTTTTTTAGAAAATTTTATTAGTTTACGCGTAATATTGCGAGCAAAATGTGCATTTAAAAAATAAAAAACGAGATTTTCTCAAAAACGGCTCCAAAGTTCTCTTAAAATTTTTGTTAGGGATTGTGCTAAATGCACCCTATATAAACGCCATATTGCTCCAGTCTTTTGTTGTTGTTTTTTTAAAAAACTACAAAAATGTATTTTTTTTTAATTTGTCTGTTTACGTGGTTTACGTTGACGTATGTGGCGATTTATTGACATTGTTATGTTTATGAGTGCATGTGCTTTAAATAAGGTCATTAAGTTCCTTGAAACGCAACCGCTTGCTGTGAAAACTAGCTCGAAATTCCGCATGTTCAGAAACTCTCAAAGGCCATTTTCTTAAAAACGGCTTTAAAGTTATTCTTCAAACGGTTTCGAACGGTTAATACTTATTGTAATGTTTAATATGACGTTAAGATTATTTTTTAATTGCACAAATGTATTTTTTAAAGCTCTCTTTCACCATTAATATGCCCATTTCCAGCAAGGTGTGTACCTTCTATGTCTTGGTGTTTTATGTTTTGTTTGTCTTAGTTTTTAATTTTGTTGTTGTTTGTGTAGTGTTTATTAATGAATCAATTTATTGAACTGTTTGTTGCCTTCGTGCACTGTTCATTTGTTTTTGTACTCTAGCGCTGATGAAGAAATTAAATATTTCGAAACGTTGGCACAATTAATTGTTTCTTTACCCGCACTGACGCACTACCCGCACTACCCGCAGTCCCGTGAACCAATTTTATTTCATAATTTACAGCAATTTTTGAGCACTATAGAATTTGTGAGTTAAAGTGCTTCAAATAACGTCAAAGGAAGTTTTTCGAAAACTCGAAAATTTTCTGTGAAAAAGTCGAATGTCGAATTTACAGTAACACTTAAACACCATTTTTTTTAAAAACGGCTCCAAATTTTTCAAAGGAAATTTTCCCTTTAGAACTAGGTTTTACTGTTGTTAAAATAATATTTCTGTTCTACTAATAAGAAACCGACAAATTAAGAAAATTAAAAAAAAGTACTTTGTGCGGCGATAATGGTTGCTGGCAAGAGTACTTGGTAAGTTCGAATATCTAGCTGATATCAAAGGAAATAGAAAACTGGTACGGAAAATCTGTGCCATTCTCTAATACCACTAGTTCCTTTCTCGTATACGTACTATATCCGTAGTAATATACGTAGAATAGAGAATGTGGAAAAACTCATTTTTCGGCAAAAATGTATTATAGCCTCAGATGTTGAAAAGGTGGAAATTTTGTTCCTGTATATAGTTAATTTCTTCCTCAAATCGTTGTGTATTTAGCATCCACGTTTTGTTGGTTCTTGATTTCGAAAAAAAGGTTACGACAAATTCTTTCTACCCGTCTACGAACAACACTAAGCGACTAAATCATAAGCAGTATTGACACCAAAACTGAAATTCTTCAATCAATCTGGCGTATGTGACGGCTGGATGACAGGATTTGTCTTCTTTTTCGTTACCAGGTTCCGCCAATTAGTTATTCTGCCGAAAATTCGCCATTTTCCGGCACACAATTACATAACTTCCCCTTCCTACAAAGTGCAAGAAAAAATAAGAAAATCAGGAATTGACATAAATAAAATGTATTATTATGTATGACCACGTGGCCACTTTGCAAAATTTCAGGAACTCCTCGCCCCAACTCCCGTGCGCTCGCCCAAATCCAGTAGCTATGACGTTCACAGCCTAGAACAAGCAGAAGGGCAACTACACTTCTGGGGGGGGGGGGGTTAACATTAAGCATTTTTTTATATATGTATGACTAATTTTAATAGAAAACAAATGAAACATACGAGGGCAATGAATTTATATCTTTAGTAACAATTAATAAATACAATTATATATATATATATATATATATATATATATATATATATGTGTGTGTGTGTGTGTGCGTGCGTGTGTGTATGTGTATGTATTATAGTGTTCTCGCATGGATGTCATTAAACCATCCAGGAAGAAAAGCTGGCAAATTCTTTTTTTAGGGTACGACTCTTTCACTGTGAACTGTTGGATTCGATTTTAAACAAGGCTTGAAGTGTTCTTTCTTCACAACGTATTTGCAACTGAGCAGTTTGAATACTGGCAACTAGTTTGTTGAAGATGCTTTCTTGTAAAAGCGAATTGGTAAGTAGGTGGTGGGTAGACTCAAGATTGTTTGTAATGAATACGAGAGCCGAAGGTTCGAGCCTCGCCGTGACTTGAACCCGAGCAAGCAGAGCGAGAAAGCTGGCCTTTTAAAGTAATTTGGCGTTACGCTGTGGCGGGAACAAAGCATATGCAAAGACATTGCACTGCGGCAGAATGAACCAAAAGCGAAGAGACCTAATCTTTTTCGGCGTGACATTCTTTTACGTGAATCGTACCCTACACTAAGAATTAACCAAAAAACTCCTGTATGCATATGTATAAAGTTCCATATAGAAATTTCATTTTAATTTCTTTCAGGTCAACAAATGAGGTATAATGAACCACAAATTTATAGTTCTAATGTACCTTCAAAGTTGGAGAACTTGTATCCTAATTTAGTGAGAGCAGTGGCAAAATCCTGGATTAAAACTGCACCATGGAATCAAATGCAGGAACTTACAAGCTCTGAAGGGATATCATTCCAGTCTTTTGCTAAGAGTAAAAAATTCCAAAAAGGTAATTTTAATAACTTTTTATGGATGCCATTTCTGCATAATTTAGCAGATTTCATTTTTGTTTATTGCAGGATTAACTTAAAAGATGTTAAAATTGTCTGCAGTAGATAAAAGTAATATTTTTCAAAGTTTTCAATGCATTTTGTGATTGTATTTTTTTAGCATTTGTGAATTCTATTTCTACCCGTGTGTTTCCGTGTTTTAACCCTTGTACATACATTCTAGTCTGTGCTATTCTATATCTGTCGTTCTTCTTTTACCTCTCGGCCTCGGGTTAGACAATTTTTCTTATTCATTCTTGTCCGGTGCCTTATGCTCTAATTCCAGTTTGTAGTTAAACTTTTATAACATATCAATTATAAAGCCCTTCAATACTCCCCCAGGTCTTTCATGTGGTCTTTTTTCTTCTACAGTACCGGCAGCATATGAGCGACTCAGTTCGATGCTTTGCGCTGTTGCCATAATTTACTGCGCACGTGGCACTACCTTTAATACATTTCAAACAAATTAAATGTCGAAACATTAACACTTCCCGACAGGCGATGACATGTCTTGATACCTGTACGCACAGTAACGCTGAACCCTGGCCGTGAGAAAGTAAACAGCTCCCAATCTGATTGCTTCTGAGCAGGTCACATGATGCATCATGGCACGTGGCGAGAGGACCGTCAGCCGCTTGTACGCTGGCGGCACTGTAGTCTAGCTTCGAAGATCTCTTTCCGCTTTCCATCTTTACTCATTCTATTAATGTGCCCAAATCACTTCTCTCATTTTTATAGTAGTTAAACTTTCAGCTCATCGTGGAATATTGTAGACTATACTTATACTCTACACTGTGGTATACTGGTAGATTATTTCTTATTTTATCCCTTCTTGCTTTGCCCACCATTCTGTTGTACCCACATCATACATTAGTTTCAACTTGCATTTGTTTGCATGTATTCAAGTATTGCTTTGAAAATATGCCTCCATTTTCACGATTAATTAATTTGTTTTGAAATAAGTGAAAATTTGAATGGAACATAGATTTATTTAAGAAGCCAAGATCTTTGTCGTATGTTAACAGTGTGGTGAACAGTAAATGGCTTATTAAATTATTTTTTATTGTTTGCTTTGTAGATCTGTATGCTGATTGGGTAGCTCCTACCTTACAAGTAAACCTATTGGTGGAAACTTGGCCAAATGGCCGAGGTCGCCTTCCATCAGCATGTCATTACCCTTTCAAGTAAGCAATTTTCTTGCATATGTAGTGGGTTTCAAGTGTTATATTAATTGTGTTGAATGGTACCTCCGCCCCCGCTGTGGAATACTAGTAGACTAGTGTTCTGGTAGTACGGAGTGATAGGCATGTTTTCAGTTTTGGACGATAGAAATGATAAAGTGCTGATGTATATGTTGGTTGTCTCAGGGTTGAGTGTAGCCTGATGATGAAAAAAAACATATTCCCGAAACGTTGCGGAAGCAAATGTATAATTAATGACAGACTGGTTCAAAAATAAATCAGTGGCACAACAATTATGAGTTGAATTAAAAAATAAAGCATTATGTATCAGATGAAAATTAAACAGACAGCTTTCCAATGACTATATTGGAGTTAGGATTTTACAGGCGGAATACACGTTCCAGATATCGGACTCGAAACTTAGCCCTGGTGCTCCCGTCGTCCTTCAATGCATGGAGTCCTTTGATGCATTCGTCCCACCGTTGGGCTGGAAAAGGAATTCGCACAGCTTAGCCCGCTCCATCTGGCCATAGTCTCCCAGCGTGCACCTACTCATGCGCAGGGGAAAAACAGTCGCCGGTTGAGTAAATCGCCCGAATGCGTCCAACTTCTACCCATCAAGTAGGGCTGACAAAGCGATCACGTCGGCTAGTCTCATGGTCCTGTAGCCCTTCCCACGACCCGACAAGATTGAAGGCAATGGGGCGCCCTAAGTACGAGGCCGCCTCGCCTAGCTGCAGCCGCGGGAGGTCCTTCCCGCCGGCGTGGAACGTCGTCGGAACGGGCCGCCCCGCCTCCATCGCCAACGTTTGGTATGTTTCCGTCCGTGTTACATAAACCGACTGTCTGGCTTGCGTATGCCGCAAGTCCCACCTGCTCCGCCGGGGCTGGCCGCAGGCCGCCTGGCCTGGCCGTGCCGCCGCGCCGACAGAGCGCCCACAACAATCGGTAGGGTGACGCAACGGCGCAGAAGGGGAAGGGGGGTCGAGGTGTTTTCGTAAATTTCACTTTGCGACGCTCCTATTCGTCCGATTTGCATGATTGTCACGGCGTTGGATTCAGGAAGCATGTCGCCATCGCGCTATAACCCCACATTTTTTTTTTCTCGGAAGTTCGAGAACTAATTTCAAATTTTTGCTAGATTTTTGGAAAAGGGGCTTCGTAGCGTAAATTCTATTCTAAAAAGGCGTCAAATGCTGTTTACAAATCAAAAATCGGACCATTGGTTCAGATGTTATCAGTAAAGTAAATTCCCCTGTGATAGTGCAGCGATCTATTGAATTTTCCTACAAGTATTTTTCGGTGCATTTAGCCTTAAGGTTATGCCTTCGTAGGGCTTCGCCCGCTGAGTCGAGGCGGGCCTGGAGCCGGCGTCGACAGGAGCTGAGCCAGGTCATCCGCGTAGGCGAGCACCGGCGGTGTCTCGTGAAATCAGCGATGCTCATCGAGTCCCTGTCGAGTTGACGGGCGAAAAGATCCTCGCACATTTTATCCGGGGCGCTGCTGAAGAGGGTTCTGGAAAATGCCTCTACCTCCCCCCTTCGGGCCTCCAAATCTCGCACCGCGCGCATCAGCTATCTTGGTGGCGCTTGTACCGGCGTGATCCGACAGGACCTTAATCTTTCCTGCAGTTCTCGGGTCGTCGAATGCAGTGGCCTCCACGGTATCCGGCTGTTTCTGGATTTGGATCATCTCGGTCACCGCTGCTGTTAGGCCCGCGAACCGAGCAATGCCCCTCCGCTTCTACGTCTTTCCGAGAGTAGAGGAGGACGGGAGCCCCCGGCTGGAAGCTCGAGGCAGGGAATTTCGCCAGGGGTCGCACTGCCGGCCGGCGGCAGGCTTGCCGCGGCTGCGCTCGCCCAGCACTCTCCCTCCCACTCTCCGCCTTGCGCCCTTCCGCGACCGTGGCAACGCCATCTTGAATTTCTAGAGGGCGTTGGCCGTGGCGTCACCCCTCACGTACTCGCCTCGTTGCAGCGTGAGCTGACTGCACGTTTTTTTCCCCTCGTCAGCAGCTGGGCTGGCAGGTCTCCTGGCACGCGATGGTCCTGTGATCCTCGTCCATGTCGATGGCAGACCGTGTTGCGTCGCAGTTGCTGGGTTCCGTGGGGCGGCGGCGTTCGGTCGGTGTCCGCACGCAGTCGTCGCAGAGGCATCGGTCGGCACCTTGGCGTTGCCTTGGTCAGCTCCCCGCCGCACAGGAGCGTGTGGTGGGTTGCTTACCCCTGGAGCTTCAACGTCCGTGAAGTGCGAAGAGTTCCTCACGGCGTATCGCATGTCTTAGCCGAGCGGCGCAAGATGCTCAGCGACACGTCTCGCCAGAGAGTGAGGCGAACAGTTGACGGCGCTTAGGATTAGGCCTAGCTACCGGCAGGTCACTTGTCATAGGCCGTAAAACCTGGGCGGCGCCGATTTGTCCCGACTTAACGCCAGCTTCTTGTGAAATTGAGAGTTTATATTGAAAATATTATCTATGCTACCGTTATTAGTGTATTTCACTCTATTCTTACAAACAAGTCAAAGAAAAAATGTTTAGCTATTTTGGAGAAAATGTTGAAAATGTACCAGGATTTTCATCTAAAGTACCCCCAAATTTTAAAGAATGTTTTTTGTTGTTTTTTTCAAAATCGCAGACCTTCGAGTGGAGCCAAATCGATCGGGGAATATTCATTTTGACAAAACTAGTATACGAATAGTTTAGGCAGGAAACGTTCGCAGTCCGACCGACGGACGTTTTAAATAGAAACAGCTTTTCGGTATCGTATCAGCGGACCCATGTATTCCATGAAATTTCAACGGAAATACACGTTTCCGTTGAAATTTCGAAATCGATTTTCCGCAACATTACCGTATATACGTACGTACTCGAGAATGTAAAAAAAGTACTTTGGGTGGCTATGCACTGGCACTGGCTATGCACTGGCAAATGGCAACTGGCAAGACGATCGGGTAAAACTAATACGTGAAAGTATGTGTCATTCTGCAGCACCACTAGCTTCAGTTGGGCTCGTTATTTTCACAATGCTATGCTATAGAGATATGATATGCTATAGAGATATTGTTCGGAATATTTTTATTTTCCGAGAAATTTATCATATTTGATTTTTTAAATGGAACTATTATTATGACGAACCTATCGTCGGTTCGAAAAACAGATCATTTACATTAGAAGATTTGAGGACCCGTAAGGACACAATTATCTATTTTATGAGTTTAATTATATTTCATTTATGTATGCACATCTCACGTAGCCGAGTATCAGTACAAATTATCATATAGTAAATACATGTATGGGTATCCTTCATATTTTTATTTCTTAGCGCATGAGGGTCTGTCTTCACGATGGAATATCTCACGGCATTTCGCGTCTTTCCCAGCCGTGCGGCTGGATATCACATGATCACAAGCACTGCTCGATACGGTCATGCGACAGTTGCGAAGACTGCTGCGGGAAATATTGTTCGTTTAATTTAAAATCACGTGTCAGAAAGTATAATTTTATACTCACATTACTACACAACATTAACATATGATACATCATTGTATTCCTCTTTTTATGATATATTCATTGCTAGAGAGAAAAAATATAGTTTAATTAAAAAAATTCCAAGATGAATAAATTTCTCCAAAAATAAAGATATTTCAAACATCTCTACGGCACATTACTTGCCCATGATTCTACATTGTCGAGCGAAAACTGCACTTCGTTATCGTGAACCATTTAGATGATATGAGTGACCCATAGTTGGTGGAACATTTGTGTAGTACAAATAACAGTGCAATCCGTGTACATTCTCTTGGGCTTGCATTTTGCTAGATGCGAGAGGAGTGGGGATTTACGGCCTCTTCATACATTCAACTTTCTCGGAACGACCGTATGAAGGCTAAATATATATAGCAGCCTTGTATATCATTCTCTTGACACAATGTGATTTTTCTCATTAACCATGTTCGATAATTTATGATGAAGCGTGATAAATGCATTCGCTTGAAGTTCTTAAATGTACCGAATCCAATTTCTTCACTAGATAAAGAAACGTGAATATTTTTTTCTTTCCAGAATCCAATTCCATTTGCATGACCCTTTTCTACTTCCAGTGTCCTCGATGGCATTTTCTGTTAATGCAGCGCTGCTAGGCAAAGCCTACTATGATACTTCAAGACTATTACTTGGCCCCATATTTCCGTATTGTAGAGCGAAAACTGCGTTTCGACCTAGCGAACCGTTAAGAGGTTACAGACAGTCGTGGCTCATAATTGGCGGGACATCCGGTATTTTGAGAAGCTGCGACTTCGGAGGCGTAAGATATTGGCATATTCTGCAGTTGTTCTTTACCAAGCTAGTTTCAGTCTTTGAAGACACATGCTTTAAGGAGGTTTTTTGAAGGAGCGTATATAAAAACAATTAGAGGAAGTCCATAAATTACATAACGCAAATTTGGAATATTTTCAATACAGCCTCCCCCCTGTAATTTGTTAGTATAGTAATGTTTGAGTATAAGACTGAATAAAAGAAATTATTCCAGCAAATGTTGAAAGACTAAAAATATATATCAGCATCAACACTAAAGTATGACCCCCTACCCCTATGTAATGCAGCGTAACACTTCCTCAACCCCCCTCTTCAGCGTTACGTAATTTTTGGACAACTCCTTATCAAATCATTTTGAGCACATCATTGAAGAATTCAACAGAAGCTATGTGTTACGTGTTATGACAATATTTAAAGATTAACAACGGATCTTTTAGGTGTCAACATGGACTCCCTGCCGGAAGCACTTCAAAAGCCAAGCTTTACAAATTGAAAAAATGTTATTCTGTTGCCATGTAGGATTGTGATAAATTAAACAAATCATCGGGTTAAATATTATAAAGTGTACCCCCGTGTATCACATTAAGCGCTGTGATTGTATCCACCTTTTTCAAGCACCTTTTTTGTGAAAAGACGTTTTCAGCACTTGTAATTAAAACAAAGTATTATTGCAAACGTGACTTGCTAATGATTTACTTAGTCTACCTTTTGATACTCAACCAAGAAAAGGGATCTGGTAAAAAATGCAAGCTCATCCTTCTTACTGATTTTCTTATCCTTTGTTTAATTCCAATTGCAGCTTGTAGTATTGATTAGGCATAAATCTGGTAGGCATAAAACATTCCATTTTCTTGTCCTAACCTAAGAAAAACAACCGAACATTTCTACAAGATATCGCAAAAAAAATAATTAATTTGTAATATTGTAAAGAGTAAAAACATTAAATGTATTGTTATTCAATAAAACACTATTGTCAAATAAACATTGGCAAGGCGTCTGTAGGAATTTCATCTCTTAACATACGGGGGCGTGGTAAAAGAAAATTTGAGAACCCCTGGTGTTGAAAAATGAATATATTTTGAAAATAAAATAATATAAAGTCAAAAATAACATATTTATTTCATTATCTATACCCATACTGAAGAAGTAAACAAACGAAATATAGTGTAATTCTCAGTGGAGAGATTAGGTTTGTTCCAGCAAACAATCACCGACAGTTTTACGTACTCTCACTCTGCGCATGCGCGAGTGCATGCAAACTACAGATGTATTTAGTAAGTCATGGTACAAGGAACTTTCTTAAAATTACTTACCTTCCATTTCCCCAAAAAAGAAACAAGTATCAAATTCCATTATCTACAAGAAAATCCGGAAGATAGCTAAGTCACCGATGAAATCCAAGAATCTAGATTTATATTTATTTAGTAAAAGAAAGTAAAAACTATGTAACGTATGGGGGAGAAGATGATCTGTGCATGTTTTCTTGAATTCCAGAATCCCTTGCCATCATTTTAACTATAAATAAATAAAAATAAATTTTAAAAAAGCGGAGGTTAGTAATACTTAAAAAAAAACTAGAAAATCAATAAAACGTAAAATAAAGCAGGGTCAAATTCCAATATCCACGAAAAAATCCGAAAGAAAGCGAAGTCACCAAAAACCAAGATTCAATAAAATGTAAAACAAAGCAGGGTCAAAATAAATAGAGCGGAACATAAAACAACTATGCAGAAACCTAACGGAAACGTAATGGCGCGTCGTGGAAGTTAGGCGTTGGCGGGAACTCGGGGTCCAAAGTACGCATGCGCGGATTTCTAGTTTGAGGGGGAGTGCACAAACTGATTCGGACTGGTTTCAAACTAATCAGCAACCCTGCTGGAACGCCCAACTCCCAATCATAATCACTGACTACTGTTGCTGGAACGGCCAATACTAGACTGTGTGTGCCAGGACTAGTACGTAAGTGTTTCGGACTGCTGCCGGATCAAACCCATTGAATGGTAGTGTTGAATTTATTAAAAGTTTTGATAATAATACCCTCAATTAAACACTGAATACTCTCACAAATGCTTCCTTTACCAAAGGAGTGAAGATTTTGAACTTTGAACCTTAAAATGTTATTATTGATATCAAATTCTGATTATTTATTTTGCAATAATTTCAAAAGAGCTATATTTTTAACATTAAAATAATTTAAGGATATTTCCTAATAATAAATCTTTGTTTTTTGCTTTACCACAATTATGAAATAACCAATTTCAATTACTGGACTTACTATGATTAAGAAATGTTAAAATTGATCATTAGATCTAGATGTTAGGTAAGAAAATTAATCTATTATTCATGGCATACCCTATCTTGATTTTAGAGTGTTTAACGTGGAGAGTATTGCTGTGAAGAACAGTAGCATTGCGTTTTCTGATCATGTGGATCATTCAAAATGGGGTATAGCCGTAAATTCAAGTAACCCTTGGGTTTGTATAGGTGACATCAATAGAATGGTGAGTTTATGATAGAACTTACATATTGGAATAGTGACTTTGCAAATTGGGATTTAATTGTTATCTTGTGTAATTTTCAGGAAAGTCAAGAAGAACGTGGTGGTGGCACTGTCTGTTTGAAACATTCAGCACTGTGGAATGCATATAAACAATCAATAAATGAAATTGAAAATTGCCCACGCTTTAGATAATGTGTTGAGAATTTACATATGATAAAAGATACTACTATCTCATTTGTTTATTTGAATATTCTGTTTCACTTATACTATTAACAGTTTCTGTATATTTTGATTATTGTATGATCTCTAGTATATTGTAAGAAAGGTATCTTAGTAACTTTCAATGTAACAGAAACAGTACAAATTGCATATCATATGACTGTTTGTTATTATTGCTGACCTACTGTGAATAATTTGCCATGATAATGGAATAGTAATATTAATAATTTTTAAGCTTTATTAAAAAGAGAATATGAAGATAATTAAAGTATTTTTTAAATTTTCTATTTGATCTTTTTTATTATTACCCATTTAGAGGTAAATTGCAAAGGGTGCAGTCTGTCTATTACTGTAAACAAACTGGATAATGAAATTTATGTATTTAATGATATTTTGATCTGTAATTGATTTATTTTGATATATTAAAATTTGATAAAGTTCATTAATTTATTTAATATTAAGGATTAACTCACGAAATGGTTTTCCAAAATGCACCCACACTGCTCAAGAACAACAAATAAATCCGGAAAAGGTGCTCAGAGCATCAACTAATGTCACTGCAGTGCCTCTGATCAGGAGTCGCGATGATGGCAGGAAATTCGTCGCTGGCTAGATAGCTAGGTCGACTTTAGAAAATGTCCGAAGGGCAATTGGTTTTTCGATATGAAGAACCCACTGTCAGGGATTCTGGCTCCACTATGTGTTAAGGGTTTTTTTCTTAATTTAGAAACTGGATTTATCCACTTTTTTGTTATCCGGGCCCCGTAATGCATTTTTTCTGCAGAAAATTCGACGTTTTTTTCGCAACATCACATATTTTTCTCCATACTAAGTATAATACTCCGTATATACCTATGTATACGGGAACTTAATAATTAGTTGTGCAAATTTGAGGGAAATTATTTTTATTCAAATTTAAAATTACAGTTTATAAAAAAAATTAAAATTGTTTTTTTAATAATATCAATTTTAATAAAAAAAGTACGAAAATCAGAATGTATTGAAAAAATCACTTCCTACATTCTTGCTGCCGCTTACGCAGTAGAGAGAAAGTTATGAAGGTAATGCTGCGCGACAAAACGGCGCAATTTCGGCAGACAAGCCTTTATTGCAGCGTCCAGGATTTTCCCAAAATTTTTTCATTAAACCATTAAAGTTTTGTTGGAGATAGTCCTAATGTTCACTATAAGATGACAAAAACGCCATATTGGTCAATTCATTTGTTCTTTTTCAAAGTTACAAAAAATTAATATTTTTGACTTGTCTCTCACATTCTTAATATTTACATTAGCGGCGATTTGTTCACATCATTACATTTACGAGTACATGTGCTTTATATGATTTCTGATAAAGTTTCTTAAAATTCAATCGTTTTCTGTGAAAATTAGCTCCAAATTCCGCAATTTCAGAAACGCTCAAACATCATTTTCTCAAAAATTACCCCAATTGTTTTCTTCAAACTTTTCATACAGGATGTATTTATTGCTCTGTTTAAGATGACATAGAATTAATTTTGCTGTATTCTCATGTGTTTTCAAAAAATACACAAATATAATTTTTTGTAATATCTCTCACGCCGTTAATATGGACATATCCAGCGATTTGTATACATTATTGAATTTGTGAGTGAATGTTTTTTGAATGACTTCAAATGAAGTTTTTCGAATACGCGAATGATTCTTCTGAAAAAGAGCTTCAAATTTCGCAATTACATTAGAGCTTGAACATTTTTTTCTTAAAAACTGCCCCAAATTTTTCAACGATAATTTCCATATATGACGAGTGTTTTATTAATCTTTAGTATTTTAAAAGTAATATTTGCAATCTTTCATTTGAAAACCGAAAAATGGGGCAAATTTCCAAAAAATGTATTTAGTGCGGCGATAGATGGGTGCCGTCAAGGGGATGGGGGCAAGACCGTAAAACTAGCCCACACCAATGAAATTATAAAATTTTGCCGTGCCGTTCTTTAGAACCACCAGTTAAAACATTTTAAGAGCATTTTATTGACCATTTTTGGTAATGTTTTAGGTCAACAAAATCCTCCCCTACTCATAACACTATTCACAAGCGTCGTGTGGGTGGAACTCGACGAGATGCATAAAATATATAAATTCTCGTGTCAAGTAAAGTACCCTCAAGAGTCAAAATGTCCCTTTGAATCTCCCAAATCCTCGAGTCCATTTAGTTCGATTTGGGAATATCAATTATGAAGAAAATTGGCTAAACAGTTCAGGCGCTAGCGTTTGTCACAGACGTTTTGCCTTCAATTGATTTTGCTGTACCAGGGTCCCACTAAATATACATTTTCGCTACTCCATGTTAGAGGTTTCTAAATTTAGTAACAGGATTTATCTACTTTTTCGCTACCAGCGCCCTGCAATAAGAATTTTTCAGCCGAAAATTTGCTTTTTTCCGGTGCACGTTTTCATAACTTTCTTATTCTTACGAAATACTTCCTAAGGCGAGAAAGTAATAATTTCAGTGCAGGCAGTACCGTAACTTTCTCTGGCGATTGAGGTACCGTTTCGGCGCACTTGCGTCCTGTCATCGCTGGACCTTAGGGGAGCGTGAATGCCGATATCGAACCGGGTGTGCAACGCAGACGTCTCCTCTTTACATCTCCTGCATCTGTAAGGTATCAGTGTCACTTTGGCCCTTCGTAACGTGTGACGTGTGAATTTATGTACCATGAACAGAACAGTTACTATACTTGGGTTTTTATTTCTTGGCGCGCGAGGGCTTATCTTCACCATGGAATATCTCCCTGTATATTGCGTTTTTCTAGCGTGCCGCTAGATGTCGCATGATCGCGACCGTGTCGAGCAATGCTGGTGATCAAGACGCGAAATACCGTGAGATATTTCATCGTGAAGACAAGGTAATGCCCGCCAATAAATAAAAGCCCAAGTATATTCACCAGAATAAGGGACGTATTACGTGAAACGCCTTCATATACCTCAAGACATTTGTAACTTTGTGTTCAAAGTTCAATAAATGTTGCAATGTTAATCATCATAATTTCATCGTGTTTTCAGTTAAAATACATTTCTTCCATTAACAAGCGCCATCCCTCTTCCCATCCGGCCAGCTTACGGTCCGGTGCAGAATAAAATTTTCTTTGTGCACAGAAGGGACCTGGTCAGTCTGCAACCGCAACCTCTCTCTGTACATGCAGTGCTGTCGCTTTTCGCCAGTAGACGGAACCACGAGTTTCACGTCCCGGTATTTCTCCATGCAATAATACTTCAACAGAGATGAGAACAATATACGGATAGACGATTGTGTTTTCATATATTTCGTAAATGAACAATAAAAGATGTATGTGACTTTTAGGAAAAGAACATTCTGCGCACATTTTCTTGAGCTCTGGAATCTCTTCCCCACCTTTTAGTCATAAATAGTTTAGTGATTAGTAAAAGTACTAACAAAGCGAGGCTAGAAACTTTTGAAAATAAAATCTTTCGCTCCCAAGTTGAAGAAAACTTTTCATCGAACTTCTGATTTGAGTTGTTCGTATTCCTAACAATTAAGTAACCCATACCCCCGGCTCAATTCCTACCACAACCAGCAACAAGAGAGCGTAAAGGAACGTGCGCATAGTGAAGCTACATTACTGTCCAGAAACAAAACAAGGGCCCATATTAGCATTTGCTCAATGTATGAGGGAAACTGGACGAAAACTACACCGGGATGGGTGTCATTAATCCAACAGCTGGAGTACATTACTTGTGATAGGAATATTAAGAATTTGGTAAATCGGAAGTTTACGGTTCCAGTTCCTTTGACACGAAATATTTCGTACTCCAAAAAGGTGTCGGTTGTAAACAATGTCAACAGATCAATGTGTCATACAAGTCAATCATAATTTACGCCGTACATTTTAACATTCGTTTTACACAAAACGCACATATTGTTACTACAATTTAATAATATTAATATATTACTTATTTGATAGTACTCTATTGGGGACTGCCGCCCCCAATCCCTTTCTATCCCACAACACTACTAATAGTATTGTAACGAATATTGCATCACATGCCGGAATTCGCTGCGCGCGGATTGCGTCATCTGCCGGAGCCCTTCCCTTCCCCCCCCCCCCGAACTAGACGTTCCGGACTATGCGCGAGCCGTGGAAACGCCCAGAATGTGCCGGGTGCCTGGAGACAAGCGCCGGCAGGTATAAATGCGCCGCTGCCGGCGGCCGCGAGTCAGTTAGTAGAAGTCAGTGAGTAGAAGAAGTCAGTGGGTAGTAAGGCGTCAGTGAGTGGCAGAGAAGCAGTCAGTCCGTCAGGTGTCCGAAGTGGAAGCTGTGCTGTGAAATGTGCATCGCGGTAAGCAGTGGTGCAGCGGTTGAACAGCAGTCAGCAGTGTGAAGTCTGCAGTGGAAGCTGAGCTGTGAAGTGGCAATCCGCGGTAACAGCAGTGCAGTGGACCTGGTGTGCGCAGTGAATTGTGGTCTGCGCAAGGAATTGTGGTCTGCAGGGGAATTGTTGGTCTGTGCAGGGAATTTGGGTCAAGTGCAGTGGACCGTGGACCAGGGGCTCCTAGCTTCATAGGGCTGGGCCTGGCCTGCGTTTTCCGCAAAGTTTAGTTGGATTCCGCCTGACAGAGGGCCCTGCAGTCGCAGTGTTAGAAAGAGAAAGCGAATATTAAACAGAGAAAGAGAATTCGAATGACACGAATGCGACCGAGAATAAACGAGTGTTACGAAGACATCGATGTCCGCGGAGGACAAAGATTTTTGAAGGACAACGGCTTTCCTACTTTTTGCTGTTAGCTTTTTGTGTCCGCGTTGTGTCCTTGACGATCTGTGACTTCGGCGAACACTTTTTGCAAATCAATTTTTTTGTAAGAGGTAAGACTTCGGTGGGTTATTAATTAAATTATATATCTTATTAAATCATTATAAAGCTTAATACATACGAAAATTCGTCAATTTATTTAATAATATTAGAGCAAGATGTCTTGTGTTTGTTTCCAGATGTCTACCTGTTGCGTATGTCACAACCTTTAAATCATTAAGAAAAACGATGGAAGGAATCTCGTTCCACAGTGATCCCTTCCGAAAGACGAGGCCTTTTGTCCTGCAAAAATGGAGGGAATTTGCAGAGATCCCAGATGGCGAAAGGATCCGTGACAGGCATTTATGCAGTGCGCATTTTAGGGCTGAAGATTCATTTCTATTGCCCCAAAAGGAGACTGGCGATGTGGTGCAGTTTCTTGTTTTACGTGAGTATATTTTTCAATTTAACCTTATTATAAAATACAGATAACACAGGTTACGAATGAAAAAATTGTATATTTTTGGATGTACTCCAAATCGCTGCAATCGTATTCGTGCTTGTGAACCACATCACATTTGCTTGAATTCTTTCACTGAGATGATTATTAAAATGTTGATTTATTTTGTAGGAGATTCTGCAAGATCGGCTACAGCAATGGAAATCCATTACATCAGTCCCACAAATATCAGGTAACCTTATTTGAA